AACAACATTTGTAAAAAAAAAAAAAAGCCTGTAAGAAAAATTAGATATTTTAAAAGACTGAATATTAAACATGTTTTTAAAAGATTTTATTTATTTATTTTTAGAGAGGGAGGGGAGGGAGAAAGAGAGAGAGAGAAACATCAATGTGCGGTTGCTGGGGGTTGTGGCCTGCAACCCAGGCATGTGCCCTGACTGGGAATCGAACCTGCAACACTTTGGTTCGCAGCCCGCGCTCATTCCACTGAGCTATGCCAGCCAGGGCATATTAAACATATTTTAAAGCTTTGATTTAAAATTTTGTCAAGAACCTATCAGACATAAAAGACCTCATTTCGACACTTTTAAAAATACAAAGCATTAAACTATACATTAAATTATTAAATTTAATTGATAAAAAGAAACTGAAGTAAAAACGAAGGGATTTCTAAACTTCAGATAAATAAATGTGGTTGGTTTTTTTTTTTCAGAAGATACTGGTTCCTCACAAGTGCCACTGAGATGAAGAGGCAGTGCAGGGAGTCCCTGCTCCACCCCCACCCCCACCAGCGCCCTTTCTATTTTCTATTTTAGACAGGCCCGACCGGCTCTGAAAGATGAACCCAGTCCCTCACAGGCCGCGGCCTCACAGCAGGCTGCGGCCTCGCAGCTCCTGCTCCTGCCTCCAGTCCTCGGTTCCTGCGATTTTTACTTGTCAGGGTTTGTGACAGTCCCCTCCGGCCTGGCAACCGTGATCCCGTCCTTGTTTTGTATTAGTTCCATATGCAAATGAGTTCTACGGCCAAACCCAGTCCTCTTAGCACCGCTGGCTGGGCAGTTGTTCCTGAGTTTTCTCATGAATCAGCTCCTAGCGGGCTGGGTTTCAGCGCCCAGCTTTCCTCCCAGGAAGGGCGCGTGGAGGATCCATTCTGTAGGAAAGGCAGCTGGAAGGCAGACCAAAGTGCTGCCACCCGTGGGCAGAGGTCCGAACGAGAGGAACGGAAATAGGAGGTCGATTCGGACACATCACAGGAAAATTTGCTGAAAGTGAAGAATTGTATCGAATCACGGACAGAGCAGATGGAACAAGAGACGGAGGCATGTGGCTGTCACCGGAGCCGCTCGCTCTTGCTGCCTCTGAGCCTGGAGGAAATACAAACGCACCCGCACTCGGGGTGAGAGTTACGGACCAGATTAACACGGTCAAAACCCGATTCCTGCTGCGGGCAAGGGTGGGAGTCGGTCACAAACTGTTGGCACGGCTGTAGGCGGGACTGACCTCTCAGGACAGCCGTGTGGCTACCCTGTCCAGGCCTCCCAGTTTCCCGGCCACCCAGGCGAGGAGCCAGGCTTGAGCGAGACGCAGCGTTGCTCTGCCTGCAGGAATCCGCAAAGCCACCCGTTGCCTCTCTCTGTCTCGAGTGTCGTCCTCTGCGACTTTATTCTCCACGGCACTAGTAGGATTCACAAAGTTCTCGTTATTACGAAAGTTCCCAAGCACCAGAAGCGTGGGAGCAGGAGCGTGGACTTCCACGCCATCTGGTCTCCACACTGACGGGCGTTTAGTCCTTGACGTCCACTGCGGCCAGCCCCTTCCACCGTTTTTGTCCGAGTAGTCCCAACAAACGGCCAGTCTGGTTCTTGTTACGAAACAGGGCAGCTCAGTTCTTTTCCTGCAGATCAGAGCCTGTCACAGACCGAAGGTTTGTGTCCCCCCAGATTTGCACACTGAAGTCCCGATCCCCGGCGCGACGGTGTCGGAAGGCAGCCAGTGCGGACCAGGCAGAGCGCTGTCACCATGGACCGACTGGGCCACCACCTTGACCTTGGATTCCCCGCCTCCGGGGTGGGAGATGATACATTTTTCAGCTCAGCCACCCACTGCGGTATTTTTGACACGGCAGCTGGGGCGGGCTGACACACAGCCCGAGCCTCGGGACCAGCCCCTCACCCATGCAGCCCTGGTGCGTCCCCTCTCAGCCGGAGCCGCCCACCATGCCCGAGGACCTAGTGTCCTGAAAACCAACGGCTTCTCAGCATCCAGGCCTTTCCATATACACGCCCATCCTGAAGGCCCGCCAGGGTCCCTCCACAGTCCCGCCGGGCACCCAGTGAACTCCTGGGTGAGACGCGTCCCGCACGGCCTTCTCCGATGAACACCTGCCTCCACCTCTTCCCTGCAGCTCACTTCCGTTGTCACCCTGCCGTCACCGGACATGGCATGTTACCTCGTGGTGTTTTCACAGGCCTCCCTCCCTTCCTCGGAGCCCAGGGCGTGTCAGCCCAGGCCCGCATGTAGGAGGCATTCACAGCGATGTTTGTTCGAGACCCGTAGGAGTGAAAACTGTTCCGGAAGAAACAGCACTCTAGCCTTTGCTGCAGACCCTTCTATGGGGCCTGGCGAGAAAAGGGAAGAGGAACAGAGGGCCAGGGACAGAAGGAGGCAGAACCAGGGGACAGGGCACCCGGAACACACGACTTACTAGTCTTCTCTCTGGCCAGCTCTTCCATTCATTCGGTGAGCTGCAGGAGCCGTGAACACTGGGGCCCATGAACAGTGGCCCTTGGAGAAACCCTGCTCTCTGCGTCCCCGGTAAGGCTCACAGAGGCCTGTGCCACACCGACTGAGTGCAAGTGACAGAGCCTAAAGTATTTCCCATCTGGCCCCTTACGGGGAAAAGCTCGCCACTCCCTGCTCTCCCGGGACAGACGGATGTTGCAGCGTGTCTGTCTCCTGCAGCGTCTGGTGGGGTGCAGTAGGTCCTGCGCCGCTGGGCAGTTCACTGCACAGACCTCGGATTGCTTCCTCAAGTGCTGATAGGGGACATAAGAGTTGGAAAACTTTAGTTTAAGTGATAGCTAATAAGCTTAGTAATCAATGCACGCAAAAGCTGTTGTTCCAGGAGCTGAAGGCGTGACCCGCCCTGACTCCAGGAGACCACAAGCAGTTCCACCTGTGCGTCCCAGGAGGCCTGCAAGCAACTCCATATGGTAATGGAGCCATTGCACTCCAGGGTGAGGGGACCACCACCCAGGACACTGCTAAAGACCACTGCCCAGTGTGAGAACGCTTTTTAAATCCACTTAACTTTTCCCTGAATTCCAAACCCCTCACCTACACTTTGTTCTCCTTATAAAAAGGGCCATTTTAACATGGAATTTAAGACAATCTATTACGGTGAGAAGCTGCCGTCTTCTCGGATCGCCAGCCATTTGAATAAAGCGCCCATAACGATTCAGTCTCTGTCTCTGCCTATGAGGGTCGGTATGTGATGGGCAGCTTGAATGCTGGTCTTTTCTGGGTTCAGTGTCAGACACGGGGTTAGGTCAGATGACCCAGTGCAGGCTGCCAAGTGCATTCCAGGTTCGGAATGCTGGAGAGACAGGCAGGAGCACGGGGCTATTAAAACACAAGGCGGTGCCTGGGAGCAGACTCAGAACCACCCACCTCCCCAAGTCGCTTGTCGATTTTCAGTTATCAGCCAGCAGTCGGTAGACGTCGGGGCGAGAACCCACTACGGGCGGGGACTGGACTTGTGGTCTCCACGCCGTGTCCTCCGGCCCACGGGGAGTTGACAGGCATAAGAGAACACATGTCTGGAGAGATGCCAGAGTGCGGGTGACAGGAAAGTACAGACACAGACAGAACAGTTGCCTACCTCGTTCGACTCAAACCTGTGAAGCTGGTTAAAAAGAACCCCACGGAAATGAAAGCGAGGGAAACGCTGGCCAATCACCGGGGACCGGTCAGATCCATTCCTGGACGTCCGTCTTAAGGAGACGAGACCAAACACAGAGCGAGTTGTGCTCACACGGCTGTTTCTGGCAGCGCCCCTGGAGAGAACCCGGGAAATGGCACAGACCCCAGCTGCGCTCGGCGGGCACCGTCCTGTCGCCGCCAGGTGGGACGTGGAGGGGTCGCTCGAGACAATGGGTCTAAGGCACAGACCTGCCTGGTGCTGCCCATTGTTGCTTTTGGAGCCTCTTCGGTGGGCGGAGGACAGGGGACCGAAGTCCCAGAGGGGCTGAGAGACAGCCCCACCGGACTGGCTGCGAGGGAAGACTTCACGCAGAGCAAAATACACTCAGTCATTTTTACAGAAAGATGTTCGAGTCTGCGGCACCAACAGTCCAGGGGAACTCGCTCTGTGGCTTCACATCCTATTCTCCCCGCCACCCCTAAACATTACAGGGGGTCTGTGGGCCACGGTGTGACATGCAGGCCACTAAGAAAAACAGGATAGAAGACTACGCACGTTACGTGGTTACATCTAACTATAGACATCCCCACTGTAAATGCTACTAATGGCTGGGTTAGCAGAGCGGATTTTAGGTAATCTTACTATTTCCCATCTTCCCTTTGGTAACGTGGTTTTAGTAGTCTTACAACAAAAAATGTGCTCAGAAAACTTGCTGAGTTGCTAAGCCTCTTGGGTGGTAAGACCATCGGAGGCAGACAATCGCAGCGCTGGTTTTCAAGACTGTTTTCAATTTTGGTTTTCTTATTTGGACTAATTTTAAGAAAGGCAGGCTTATGGGAATGTGAATCCTAAGTTTCAAATCCACGGCTCGCTGTGAGCTGATTGGAGGCCGAGGACCCGAGTTCACGCAGAGGGAAGCGAAGCCCATGAACGAGGAGGGAGGCGTGAGAACAAAGCGCGGCGTGACACTGTCCTGCCCGCGCCAGGAACCCCCGGCGTCAGGCCCTGCAGTGCTGCGAGGGGCCCACGCTGTCTTGCAGCGCAGCTCCCAGGCTGCGGCACTTGTACCTCCATGTGTCACCTCCCCCGAGCAGTCTGCTGACTGCACGCCCGCAGGCTGCCCGGTGCACACCGTGTGCCACCCCCAGGCACGTCACGTTCTAAGTAAAGGAAGGTGATCCCGCCACCGAAGCGGATCCAGCGGGGCCGGCCGCGGCCACCTGGGCGCCACAGAGCTCCCACCTCTCCCCAGCCCCACCGCTGAAAGCGTCCCCGAGTTCACATCGGAAACCGAATTCAAGTGAACATGAGGACAGTTCCTTCTCCGATACTAAAATGCTGTAATTTTATTTCTTTGCAACGCAGTAATTAAAACGAGCAAACTCCCACTGCTAGTTGATTAAGAGCTGGGTGTGAAAGCAGAGGCTGCCGTCCCACTTGTCAGCGCCCAGCTGGTGGCCCGGATGGGCACTGACTGGCCAGGGGCTCCACGCAGAGCTACGCTGCCGGGAAGCACCCACGTGTCCTAACCCTGTGGACGTGTCCGTGGGCCTCAGGGGAGAATTCCCTGCACGCAGACGTTCCTGAACACGCGCTGAGCGAGCGAGCGAGCGGCGCCGGGTCCCCAACCCGCCCTCCCCTGCGAGGGTGTACGAGGGGAGCAGTGACACGCCAGGCCTGGGGACTCGAGCGCACTTTATTTCTCGGCCCGGGACGCAGCAGACGACGTGAGCGCGATCGTCAAACCGAGCTCTCAGTGGCGAGGCGACTCCCGTCCGGAGGAGGGCTGGGGCATCCTGAATCTCGAGAGGTCCAGGTTCAGGTCCAGGAAGGTGAACGGGGTGTAGTCGTGGTGCTGCAGGTTCTTGTAGGTGGTGTTGTCGAACGGCTCGGCGGCAGGGGCGGCCTGCACGGGCTCTGCGGGCGGAACACAGGCAGTGAGCACGTTGGACGGGGAAAGAACTGCTTTGCAGCCCTGCTATCAGGTGTCTGGTTAGAAAAGCTCATGAAAGCAACAGCGTCTTCAAAACCAAGGCCGAGAGTTTAGCTGCGAATCTGTTCTAAAACACACAGCCTCAACAAGAAACGGAATAGTTACGGTAATGTGCCTTAACTTACTACTTCATGTGCTTCTGCACCCTGGGCTTCTCCGAACTTTGCAAATGCCTAGAACGATTATAGTGGGACTTTGGGGTCACATAAAGATTCAGGGGGAAAAAGTGAGATCTACTAGAAATCTGTCTGTAACAGAAGCAAACATTTATAGAAGAACATTTTCAAGAGCAGCATAAGTCTCTGAACACAGGAAAATTAGATAAACTCCACCTGTTTTAGTAACAACACAGTCAAGAGGGAGTGGAAAGGGGACACGTAGGTTTCGTTTAACTTTTGGAAAAAGTTGTTGGTATACTTCAGATTCATAGAATAAAAAAAATACTAATTTAGCTTTATTTCCTTAAATGGAAAAAAAGAGTTAAAACCCACACACCCAGACATTTGGTGATCTTGAAACTGAAAGTGTGCAGCTAGAGGAGACATCGCTGTCCAGCGGTGTGCAGCGTGAGACAAAACCGCGGCAGGGTGAAGCTCTCGCGAGACGCTGGCTAAACTCTGGGTCACGTTCTTACCGACCCCGAACTTCCATCACCGGGGCGTGCGCTCTGCTTCTACTCAGGCTGCACAAAATGTAACTTAAATTCACTCTCCCACTATTTGAATTCATACCAAAAGCTTTTTTTTTTTTTAGTTATACTAAACAAAAAAGATGTCTAAAGAGCAGGCATCTTTCCCATCTCCGTGAGTAGAGCATCTTTGGTGTGGCACAGGGGCATCTTCCAAACGAAGGTGAATGTGGGCATTGAAAACCTGGCAAAACCCGACACCCCTGGAAGGCAGAGTCCGGGGGGCTCAGGGACGCGGTGGCCCACCGCACAGACGCAACCCCTGCGCTCCTGGGCGGCACGGCTCACCCCCACAGGGCAAAGAGAATACTGGGAGATTCCCGCGTGCATGAAAAATCAGAAGCAAAGTTTTTTCAAAAAGTTTGCACTCTGAACACCCAGATTCTGTTTCCTCCTGAAGGTTTTGGTGCTCCTCCCCAGGTTACAGCAGCGTGACTGAAATGGGGGCGCCGGGCCGTGCGGTTCCGGAGGTCGGGAGCGGCTGGTGAGCTCCGGCACTTTGCACATTAATGACAAGCAGAGAAAAAGGAGGGAAGAAAACACGTAAACTCTGTCAGCAGAAGGCAACTGATAACAATGATGACCAGGTCACGTCAATTAGGCAAAAGGAAGATTTTAAAAAGAATCAAGAGCAAACAGGAAGGAGCGGGGTGTGTTAGTCACAGTAGTGCGTGTTGAAGAAGTCTGGAAGAGACACAGATCCTAAAACCAGAGACCTCCTAGACCGTCTGGCTATGACCTACCTAAAAAGCACACTCTTGTTTTATAAAGTTCAACGCACAAGAAAATGGTAACATAAGTAGGAATAAACAGTTTCCCTTTCAAAATCGGTGCTAGCAAAAAAGCCCTTTATGAAAATTCGTTGCAGAAAACTAAAGCAGCCCGCTGGGCTGTTCGGGTAAAGCAGAAGGAGGCATCCAGTGAAAAGATCTACACGGTCCACGGCTGCCCTCGAGTCACTCACTGTGCGAACTCCTGACCTGCAGGTTTCCCCTCAGGCATGAGGGTGCGCGAGGCACCACCTGGTGGCTCGCCTGTACAGCACCAGACCGAATTTAACTACCGCCCTTCACACTAAACTCCCCTCTCCTTTCAGTGAGCTGCTCTGCAAGTTCGTGAAGCGGACACTGTCTACCCCCAACCGTTAAGGGTGATGCGTTACATGCCAGTTTTCAAAACTATACTGGTTCGGGGGCAGCCCAGAGTGCCAAGGGCCTACTCTTTCACTGTAAGATAAATTTAAAATGTTTCAGCCCTGGCTGGCGTAGCTCAGTGGATTGAGCACGGGCTGCAAACCAAAGCGTCGCAGGTTCGATTCCCAGTCAGGGCACATGCCTGGGTTGCAGGTCATAACCCCCAGCAACCGCACATTGATGTTCCTCTCTCTCTCTCTCTCTCCCCCTCCCTTCCCTCTCTAAAAAACAAAATAAATAAAAATCTTTAAAAAATATAAAAATGAAATGTTTCAGGGACTTCTGCCTGTAAGGCATGTATCTCTCATAATTCAGAGAGACCCCGCTGCTGATCTGAGACAGTGGAACAGGCCACGTTCCCACTGTGGAGTCCAATTAGTGGTGGCCCTTCTTTCTACCCCACAGCTCTTCAGTCTCACCACCCCCGGGGCACAAGGAGAGCTCGCAGCGGTCAAGGAATATACCCCGTGTGTTGTCCTGGCCTCCCGCCTGGGTTGCTGCGTCTTCAGCAACTTCGCCCTTTGCCTCAAGCTTTAGTTCTGCCGTCTTCTCGTCAGACATGGCTGTGTTCTGGACAGGAACTAGCTTTGAATTTGTTATTGGTCCCCGGTCTTCCAGAATCTCTTCGTCTGCCTTTGAGATTCCTTCTATGATCTGCCTCCCCAAGTTTTCTTTTTTGAATGGGGAAAAAGGCACTGCCCCGGTGGGCTCTGGTCCCCACTCTGCCAACTGTCTCCCTCGGGTCTCGGGGGGAGCTGCCCGCAGCTGCCTTCCGACGGCGGGGCCTGCCATTGGTCTCGTGGGCGCTGGGCCCGCGCTCGGCTGTGCAGACGCCCCTGATTTGGTAGGGTCGGACGAGACATCTGTCCCTTCAGATGGCCTCTGGCTTTCTTTATCTCTTGTATCTGAGCTGAATATGTTCTGCGTTTTTTTCGCCTTCATAAACTCTTTATGTACTTGTGACCTGGATATTGTGGGTTTTGGCTCGTCTTTTCCGACCTTCGGAGGCTTCACGGAGGCCCCTTTCTTCCTTGCCTGCCGGGGCCCCTCCGGAGAGCTGAGGTCCCCACGTGGCTGTGCCGCCCGGGCCGTCTCCCTTGCTGACGCCGACACCTCGGGGGCCCTGTTTTCAAAGGAGAGGGAGGCCCCCGGTCTGGGCACCCCTCCTCCGCCTTTGCCCATCCCTTGCAAACCCGCCGCTGGGCCGTCGCCCTCCTCGTCAGACCCTGAGTCGGAGGAGCTGGACGAGGACGAGGACGAGGACGAAGACGAAGATGACGACGAACCGCCCGCCACTCCCCCGCTCCTCCGAGGGGCCGCTGCGCGGGGGCCCTGGCTTCTGAGCGCGGACGGGCCTTTCTGGGGAGGCGCTACCCAGGTCTTTGTCGACAGAACCTCTTGAGCCCCTTTGGCTGTGAGCAGCACGTCGTCACCGGGGCGAGGGCCCGCTACCGTCCCGCCTCGAGTCCCAGCTGACGAGGAAGACCTGGGTGAAGTTAGGTTTCTAGACAATTCGGCTGCTGCTGGGGTTGTTAGTAGCTTGCCCCTCTCCTTTGGGTCCACTACATCTAGGAAATGGCATAAAGAGGAATATTATTTTTGATATTTAGTCAAACAGTCTAAGTGAATCAAAGTCACAGACATCTTATCATATGCCATTCTGTCATTCACAACACCTTCAAAGTAACCACCCCAAGGAGTGCGCCAGGGACCCACCCTGAGGGGGGCCGAGCCCCCCAAGAGAACAGGAAGAAAGGCAGATGCTTTTCTTTGTCACTGGCAGTTTTTAACATGGGGATTTTTAACAACAGAAATAACAAACTTGTCTACACTTTTCAAAAGAGAGCTTCTTTGATAATTACTGTGAAACAATTTCACCCAAATTTAAGATAAACTATAATGTGAGATAACTACTGAAGTTTTACAAATGTAAAATTTCTCAAAACCGTAAAAACTGGTGCTTCTTGAATATTAGAAAAGTGTTCCATATTGTATGAACTTGAACTCTCTGAACAAAACGGTGAAACAAAAGGAGACAGAGGCCTGGTTCGGGCCTGGGGCGCACGCATCCACGTGCTTGGCGGGGAGGGCGTTGTGGGGGCGGGGGGTGGGGGGGATAATGTGGTTCAAATGAAGTTGCCCTAAGAGGAAGAAAAGTCCTTCACGATCACAAGCCATCCGGGGATTTCTTCAACTGAGCAAAGCAGAAGTACTGTAAGGCCACAAAAGTCCACCATCATTTAGTATCATATATACCACTGGAAGCAACAGGGTTTACACTGCAAAAAAATCAAGTAAGTGCAAATGGAAGTCTTCCATTTTGTCAAGTCAATTATTTAAAAACAATGCAATCACACAGCACACTGACTAGAGCTGATGTCCATTTCCTCAGGTGGCGAATCTTTTCTAACTGCACAGATTAGGACAAAAGTGTAGAACATGTTTTTATAAATTAAAACGCCTTTTCAAATCTAAAGTAAAATTTAAAAAAATATATTACAAACGAACAAACTCTAAATCCAGTCTTTATTTTCCAGCCTATTTTATACTAAAGAGACATCAATCCAACTTCTCTAAAGTGGAAAAAACGTGTTCCTAGCTTTCCTAGAGTACCAGCACCCAACCAGGCTTGTAACAGTGTGCTGGGCTCGGGGACCTACATGTGACAGAACAACAGAAGACGATGAAGGAAAACTGAGGACCAACCAGAACCCGGACACAGGCGGAGAGGCCCACGGGCAGTGCACGGAGACACGTGCGTGAACGGCCGGCGCACGAGTGACTGTTCACAGCTGCCCCCTCCGCCTCCGCGCCTGCTGCACGGCGCGTCGGATTCCGCAGCTACTTGCGAGCCCGGAATCCGCATGCTGACCGCCCAGAGCAGGTGCGGACGCAGGCAACTCTCAGGACTCGCACGGAGCTCCAGGAGCACCTTAGACATAAAAACGAGGCAAAGAAGTGCGTGAGCACTTGAACTCTCCCTTTCTCCCCGTCTCCCTAACCCATACCTGACAGGGCTCAGAAACTGCCAACTGCAGCGTAGAAGGCATGCCAGCCTCCGAACCCCACAGCCTGCTCACCTGCATCGCTAATCCGCCTCTACGCTGAGTCTAAAATTCCCAAGTATGCACAATTAACTTACATTAATTCAACTCAAAGAAAAAAAAACCCACAGTGAATAATCCAATTAAAAAAAATGGGCCGAGGACCTGAATAGACACCTCTCCAAAAAGGACATATGCACAGACAACACACACACACACACACACACACACACACACACGAAAAGGTGCTCCATGCCACTAACTGCCAGGGAAACGCAAATCAAAACCACAATGAGGTAGCACCTCACACCTGTGAGAACTGCCGTCGCCAAGAGAACAGATAACAAACAAGTGCTGGTGCGGATGTGGAGGGAGGGAAGCCCTCCGGCACCAGGAGACAAATACTGGACGACTTCATTTACATGTGGAATCAAAACACCTGAACAAATTAACAAGCAAAACGAAACAGAAACAAACTCACAGAGAACACACTGATGGGTGCCGGATGGGAGGCGGATGGAAGGCTGGGTGGAAGGCTGGGTGGAAAAGAGGAAGGGAATTTTTAAAAAAGGTAACTTCAAATAAAGCTCCTCTGAGACAGGCTGCTTTGAGTAGAGAAATTATGCCTGAATCTTCCAAAATTTGTTGTGAAGTTTTTAAAATGGTAAATAAGTTATTAAAACTACATTATGGGTTGAGGCAGCACCTACTGAAATGGGAAGAAAATTTCAAATGGGATTAACAATGATATATTTTGTTTGAAAAAGAAACTCCTGTCATACAGAAAAGAATGCTTTAAAGCAGGGGTGTCCAACCTTTTGGCGTCTCCGGGCCACACATTAAATACGCAAACACTGATGAAAACGGATGAGAAAGAAAGAAAAAAAAAGGTCTGCGCATAATTTTCGTGATATCTGCCACCACGGAGAAACAAAAAAGTCCTCACATAATAACCCTACTTATGCAGCGGCCCTTTCGATAATCTTTTAAAAGCATCGAGCAGGTCCTAAGTTTGTGATCACTAATATAGAAAATATGTATATCTAAGTAGTAAAACTTAGTATAAAACTTAGTAATAAAACTAAGTGCCGTGTTAAGTAAATGAACGATTTTGTGCTGGACTGAATCCACAGCCACCCAGGGCCGAGTGCAGCCGGCCTGTGGGCTGGACACCCCTGCTTTAAAGGTTCCTCCATTCATGCTGCGTTGTTGGGAGAATTCCACGGAACGGCTGGGGAACTAAACTCCAGCACTCTGCTTTTCCGCTGACCGGCTGCCGCCCAGCCCAGCCCCCTCTCTGCGGTTCCGAGGGAAGCCGGCCGCTGTGGTCTGGGGCTGCCACCAAACCGCTGCGCCGCAGTGCCAGGGCCCGCAGCCAGTCTGCACTCAGCGGTGCAGAACGGCGTCCCTGGAAGACAGCGCTGTCACGTGGAGGGACAACGGCTCCAACTTCGAACACAAGCATGAATTCACCTGTGTGTTCTCATGAGATCCCTGACGTTTGCCTACAGGCAGGATGCTGATGCACCTGGCAATGCTTCACTTCGGTAGTGACTGTCCTGGAAAGACAAATGCAACAAAACCCACCCACTGCTGGCGGGGTTTAGCCTGGCCACGTGCTTGCTCCCTCTGTGTGAAAAGCGCTCCTGTGTCTCGCGCTTTTCCATCACTGGAGCTCTGGCATGTCTGCACACAGCGGTTCAGAAGTGTAAGTTACTTCTTCCTCACCTAGGGATTACTGTTTCTTAAGTTCTGAGACAGGAATGTAATGTGTGTTAACGATAATGTAGCTCTGAAAACTGCCCCTGCACACACCACCCCTCTTACCACTTCCCACCGGACCCACCCCGGCCCGGGGCGGCCGGTGAGATCGCTGGCCCCACTCCGGCACCAAGGGCCGAGGCTCGGGGGCCTGCAGGGTTTGCTGAGTCCAGAGGCAGAAGCCGCGAACCCAAGACCAACCCCCCAGTTCCGTGTTTCCCATCCCCTAGCTGCATCCCAAACTCTCACAGGACGAAGCACCCCATTTCCACTCCACATACCGAAGAAAGTTGCTAAAAAGCGGCAAATTTGGCTCTGCGATGGTAACTTAAATTCCATTAATCCAAGCTCATAAACCTACGAGGCAGGACTGCAGATAAAAGATAAAGCTTCACCAAAGCCTGCCCTGGCTGGGGTGGCTCAGCGGACTGAGCATTGGCCTGCGAACCAAAAGGTCGCCATTTCGATTCCCTGTCAGGGCTCATGCCTGGGTTGCGGGCCAGGTCCCCAGCTGGGGGCAATGAGAGAGGCAACCAATCAATGTATCTCTCACACACTGATGTCTCTCTCCCTCTCTCTTTCTCCCTTCCTTCTCCTCTAAAAATAAAAAATAAATAAAACCTTTAAAAAAAAAAAAAAAACCTTCGCCAAGGCCAAGGATAACATTAGTAATGAAACCCAACTACTCATTCACCAGTAAAGAATGTCAGACACGTGCCAGGCACAACACAGAACTCAACTGACATTCTTATAAAGGTGTTTTAGGTGTGATAATGGTATTGCGGCTATGCCCACAAAATAAAAACAAACAAACAAACAAAGTCCTTACTTTAAGATCCTTATATTAAAGCTTACGGATTAAAGAAAGAGAGCACCGATTTAAAAATGAAGCAGGTACAGTGGACAGGGGCCGAAGACATCACCAGGAATGTGTGCCTCTTGGGTCAAGGTCAATGGCGTGTGAATGGCAGCTGGCAGGCAGCATTCTCAACAGAATGCCAGTATCTTATAACCCGCTCACGCTTTTGCGTGCAGACCAAGGAGGGACAAAACAACCAATCCAAACGCTTTCAAACTGAGAAAAGGGCATCATCACGAAAAGAAGACAAACTCAGAGTATCGTTCTAAACCCCATATGAAGATTAAAGATTTTGCCAAGAGATTGCAAATATTATGTATATTTTTTTAAGACTCAACTAAGGTTTCATCAGTTAAGACTAAATGCAACGGACCTGGATTACAGTCAACTGATAACGAGTGGGAATAGAACATAAAATTCTCACACAAGAAGTATTTAAAACATACTGTTGAAAATAAAATAAAATAAAATAAAATAAAACAACGCAAAACAAAACAAAACGGCCCCAGCTGAGCAGCCCAGTTGACTGGAGTGCTGCTGCCCCATGCACTCCATGGGTTTGTGGGTTTGATCCCCGTTTGGGGCAATCGATCGATGTTTCTCTCTCCCTGACCCCCACTTTCCTCTCTCTCTAAAATCAATAAATATATCCTCAGGTCAGGGTTAAGATGAAATTAAATTAAAACTGAAGAATAAAACCAAACCAAACATAGCATTGCATTTCCTCTTGCCCTTCAATGAGGACAGGCTACGCTGGTATTCGGAGGACAAGTAAAGTGAAACTGGTGCTAAAAGACAAAATGACCGTGCAAAGAGCTGCAAACAGAGCAGACCCCGAGCATGCTCCATCAAAGCGAGTCACAATGGAAAACGGGGCCGGCTCTTAACTCTCTTCACAGCCACAGAGTAACGCCTGCAATCCTGGACTGGGGCTGAGCAAAGCCACAGATGAGTCTCAAAACACTGCGGAAAAAAGTCACAATCAGGGAGAGAAAAGTGGGATTCCTGGGAGGGAGGACGTATTAGGGCCACCCAAACAGCCAGAGCCTTCATACTCTGCATCCCACTCAGGGCTGAATGGTGAGTAGAAGACTGTTACATTACTGATACTTTTGGTCTAATATCTGTTACAAACCTCATGTCTGATGATAATCTGGATGCTGCTGGAAACAAAGAAGCATGAATTGTGTAGCTAGTAAAAACTCCTTTCAGTTCATGGGGAGCTCACTGATTTATCTGCGTTCTTTTCACCTATGACTACCATGGAAATCTTACTTTTTGGTGTGCTTTGCTTCTTGGAATTCAGTGGCAGTCCTTTGTCACTCTTTCCGGATTCTGCGGAGAGAGAAGCTGCAGGACCAAGTCCTGGAAACACTTGTCCTTTGAGGAGCATAGTCTGACAAGGGAATGAGCAAATAAGGATATTTTAGGAATGTAAAGAAAAAGCAAAATTGAAACAGACTCATAGACACAGACAGCGCACTGGTAGTTGCTAGAGGAGAGGGGGTTTGGGGGGTGGTGTGAAGAGGTGAAAGAGCTGAGAAGTACAAACTGGCAGTTACAAAACAGTCACCAGGATGTAACGCACAGCACCGGGAACATGGTCAATAGTATTGCAACAATTATGTATGGTGCCAGGTGGGTACTGGGAATATCAGGGGGAACATATTGTAAAGTATGATTGTCAAACTGCTATACCATATACCTGAAACCAATATAATATTGAAAGTAAACTTTAATTGGCCCTGGCTGGTGTAGCTCAGTGGATTGAGCACAGACCTGTGAACCAAAGCATTGCCAGTTTGATTCCCAGTCAGGACACATGCCTGGGTTGCAGGCCAGGTCCCCAGTATGGGGTGTGCTGGAGGCAACCACACACTGATGTTTCACTCCCTCTCTTCCCCATCTCTCTAAAATAAATAAATAAAATCTTAAAAAAAAAAAGTAAAGTAAACTTTAATTGAAAAATAGAAAATAGCCCTGGCTGGTGTGGCTCAGTGGATTGAGTGCTGGCCTGCAAACTGAAAGGTCACTAGTTCGGTTCCCAGTCAGGGCACATGCCTGGGTTGTTGGCCAGGTCCCCAGTTATGGGGTGGGCGAGAGGCAACTGACGGATGCATCTCTCACACACTGATGTTTCTCTTCCCTCTCTTTCTCCCTTCCTTCCCCTCTCTCTAAAAATAAATAAATAAAATCTTTGAAAAAAGAAAAGTAAAACATAATTTTCAAAAGGATACTTTAGTGAAACACCATTTACAACCGCTATTAGTACATATGACGATTATGTATTATTACTACATATGAATGTTTTCCTTTAAATTCATATGGCATATTTATAAAGATAATTATAACTTTCATAATATGTGTATATTACAGAAATTATGGAAAATACAAAAAAGCTACAAAGGCTAGTACTACAGATGAATACTTTCCTTTGCATTCATACATTTCTAATGATTACAATTTTCATAATATATGTATATTGTAGAAATTATGGAAAAATACAAAAAAGCTGCAAAAAGAAAAACAAAACCTGAGTTCAAGAACATGCACTATTAACACTTGGGTACTTCTCCAACCAGACTTTCTTCTGTGCATACTTTTTTGTAGTCTCCAATTAACTATTAACCTACAAAATACTATGATTCTTTTTGTAAAATGTTGTTCTATACTTAGAAAGTAAACTAGAATACTGCTTAAAATAGTATTTTAAAAATGATAAAAATTGCTTCAAATTTGTTTTCAGTAATATCAAAGCGGCAAGCATTTTATAACCTGTTCATTTATTCGGCATCCATTTACTAAGACCTGCTGTGTGCTGGGCACTGTTGTAGACGCTCCACATAAGAACAGAGGCGCCTTCAGTGCATACATGAAGGAGTAACAATTTTTTGTTCATGACTGCACTCAGCATGGGTATACGCAGAAAAACTCGTTTGCAACTAGTTTTCAAGGAGTAAAGAGACTCTCTGGCAATAGATTTCCCATCTGTGCTTTAATTTATTTACCAATGATTAGTTACTGCTATGTAATAAGAACCTTTTGAAACTTTAGATGTCGTGAAGTGGCCTTAGCTTTCATATATGAAGAAAGCAAGCCCTTCTTCCTTCCTTTTCACAGACCAGGTAATGTAAGCTGGCTTCTTGGCAGCTGCGAAACCAGCTGCCGGGTCAACCAGGTGCCCAGAAGTTCCCTCACTTCTTCTCCTGCTTCAGTAAGGAAAGACGCAGTCCTGAACCGTTTGGACAGAGCAAGGCGGTGCACGCCGCACATCGGGGGCTCCCCAGGGGACTCGGGTTGGGCGGGAGCCGGCCCCTGCCCCCGGCTGCCTGCACCGGCCTTGCACCCTCTCCTCCGCTGCAGAGCCGGGTCATGGCTTCCCCGGGACGGCCAGATATGGCCTCAGGACCGCGCCCTCGCCGCGACCCTACGCGGGCTCGCAGCCACAGGCCCAGCTCCCCTATACCTTCAGCGCCCTGGCTCGTCCTTGCCGGAACAGAAGGAAGGCAGCCATCGCGGTGACTCGGAGGCGGGCCGGGCGAGGGGCGGGCCTGGAGAGGCTCGCAACCGGACTGGTGCCACTGCAGAGCGCGCACGGCCGCCTGAAAGCCCGCCTCCTGCACCTCGGGCAGCAATCGCAGGCGGAGACTGGCCGGGTCCCAGCCGCTGCGCGCGCACCACCGCCTGAGTGCCCGCCCCCTGGGCGGAGGACACCAATCATCAGAGGGATCAGGAGCGGAAGAGGGCGGGGGCGTGGTCCTGCGCGCGCACCCCAGGGACGCTTGGCTCTTTGCTTTACCCCCGAGGCCGTGCTGCGGAGGAGTTTGCAATCGCAGGCTAGCGTTTCTCGCGGCCCGGGGCTGCACAGTGGGACGTCTCCTATGCGTGTGCGGAGAGTGGACCCGAGGTCTTCGGTGTCCTCTCCTGAGGTGCACAGACTTCAGGCCCCTTCCGGAGCTTTTCGGCTCTGGTTAACAGTCCTCTAATGTTTGGTGGGCTTGAAGCACTTCTGCACGTTAAGTCCCGCCCACACCCTGTGCCCAACCTCCCCACCTCCCCGCGTCCACTCGGCCGTGTCAGGTCGGACCCCATCCTCTCATCGGTGTGGTCTTCTGCGGCCACCCCTGTGCACTGCCCCTCGTACAGGGTGACCTCAGACGGGATCGTGGATGCGCGTTTGGCCTGTAACAACAATAATACCGGAGCCAGGAAGATCAGAAATCCAAGTTTATAGCTATCGGTGCAGATTTACCCCCACATTTGGCAAAACCGTGGAATACATGTAGTTAGTAATCGGCTTCCTTCTCCCTTATTCATCATGTCTCCCTGCTCCCAGCCCTGCCACGCCCGGTGCCCTTAAGTATCACATCGTAGTGGACCTTGTCCGCAATTCTAACTTCACTGGGCTAGGCTAGAGATTCATTCAGGTGGCAAGATAAACAGGTGTAAACTGGTCCCCCAGGCTCTTATCATCGGAGAGAATCAAACGAATACAGTAGGACCTGCCACTATCCAATCCACCCTGAGAGGCAAGAACAACAACCTTAGATCCTAGCGTGCAACGAGAAAGGAATCCTTTGTCTCTGTTACCAAACTCAAGCGTTTGGTGCAGGGCTTTACTCAAGATCCCAAACGTGGCTTTCCCAATGTAGTTTTATTTACTTGCAGGAAGTAAAAAAGACAAGGGAACTCACATGAACAGCTGTCTCCTAGAAAGGAGACTTAGCCATTGCTTATACACACTATTTGGTTATTACACATTGATTTCTTTTTTGCAGCCGACTACCTTTATCTGGTTGCATTCCTGGTAAGCTCATCCTGGATACAGTTGGTCTGCAAAATTCTGTGCTACATTTTAACATTTAGCAAGAATAACATTTAGTAATAAGATTTAGAACTGTGGGACATTGAGACTCTTGTCCTAAAAACATCCCTACAGGGAGAAGGAAAGAAAAACAAACATGCTAACAGAATTACCCTTTGCTCAAACCAAATTAACTTCGTTGTCCTAGAGAAAGGTTCATGCTTGTCTTTGTGAAGTGTGCTTGTTTCGCTGGTGATTAAGAAAATTGAAGGTAAGCCACAGTTGCCACTTGGGGAACCTAGTTCACATCACCCTGCTTCAGAGTCCCCAGGTCCCCTCCACAAACAGCAGGGCACAGCCAGCTAAAGGCAGACACCGGACTGGTGCCTTAAGACTCGAGAACAAAATGAAAAGACCTCCCCCAGTGAGATGGGGTGTGGTCATCAGCCAGGGTGGACGGAAGAGGGGACAGATAAGGTGGAGGGGAGACCTGGAGAGGAAGAGACCCAGTGAGTAAGGGGATGTCTTAATGGTTTTTAAGGAAGCAACATGATTAGGAGTGTGAAGGTAACTATGGCAACCTGTAACTCCAATGCCTATGCCTGGAGTGCACAGTCTGCCCTGCATTTGGCCAAAGGGAATAGAAACCACAGGGCCAAATGCAAGAAGCAAATATAAGATGCTGCAGAAAAATCAGAGATACAGAGGCTGGAGAAAGGGCCGGTGACTTCATGAATATTTGTGGAGAGGGGATTATATCGTATTTTCCAGCCAGCTGAAACACCAGCCTAGATTTTGCTGGCAGCAGGGGTTGGTCCTCCAATTGTTAATTCTCTTTCTGCAGGGACCTGTCACCTCTGCCTGGAGCTCTACCAAGTTTCAAACCAGCATTTTCAGACAGAACCTTGTGAAAGTTGGCACAAGTGGAGCCATTTTAAAATGGCCATTCCAGAGGTCCTGCCTGCACGTCTTACTGCTGGAACCTTGGAATGTACTGGGCAAAGTAACCTTTGGATTGGGCCGGAACAGCACTGTTTTCCAAACAATTGTTTGTGAGGTTAACAAGAAAGCATGCCTCCGGACTCCAGGACCGGAAACTAAAGACATTCTTTAGAATTAGTACACAGCCGTGTGTAGCTAATAATTTAGCTTATTAGCACCAATTCCAAATTCCTTCTTTCTGTTCATGCAATTATTTCCCTTTTTTCATAAAAACCCCTTGCCTCAGTCCCATTATTGGAACACTATTTAGGTTTCTGCCTGAATCGGTGCTTCTGCAATAGCCATCCTTGATCTTAAATAAAGGATTGTTGCTTTTCATCATGGCCTTTTATTTTCAGGTGAATAACCTCAAAAACTTACATTTGTCTGTATTCTTTTATTAACCACCCGAAGTTTTATATAAACTACTAGAAATTCTCCCATATGTATCCTAAGGGTGAATTAAACTTTTAAAAAGATAACTAGATTACTGGAGCAGCACTGGGACCCAAGCTGTGAACTCAAAGGTGTTGGGGTCAAAGAAGAAAATAAAAATACTGCGCTATCACAGCATCTGCACTCACACCCAAGCTCTGCATCTTTGTCTAAAATGTACATTCTTTTTTTATTTTAGAGATAGGATTTCTTTTTTTTTAAGATTTTATTTATTTATTTTTAGAGAGGGAAGGGAGGGAGATAGAGAGAGAGAGAGAGAGAAACATCAATGTATGGTTGCTGGGGGTTATGGCCTGCAACCCAGGCATGTACCCTGGCTGGGAATCGAACCTGCGACACTTTGGTTCGCAGCCCACGCTCAATCCACTGAGCTACACCAGCCAGGGCTAAATATACATTCTTTTTAAGCCCCGAAGGAAATGTATTATGCCACTATCCTATGTAAATTAATACAATTATGTGTTTTAAATTTTTTTACAAACCACTTTCAATAACACTGGTTTAAAAATATTGTTTAGGATGACCTTATATAGTATGCTTTGCTAAGCTAATAAGGTAGTTTTCATTTTAGTAAAAGAATAAAGCCCTGGCTGGCTCGGCTCAGTTGGTTAGAGTGTAGTCCTACAACTGAAAGGTCACAGGTTCGATTCCTGCTCAGGGCACATGCCCAGGTTGCACCACTCAATCCCCAGTTGGGGGCGTGTAGGAGGCAGCCAACCAGTGTTTCTCACATCGCTGTTTCTTTCCCTTCCCCTCTCTCTTGAATGAGAATAAAATAAACCTTTTTCAAAAGAGAACAAAAACAGGTAGCTCAGCATACAGGAGAAGTAAATTTTAAAGCTTTTCTTTGCTAAGGAAAGTTTAAGCGAAGTTGCGGGTACTTAAAACTGTTTTAAAGCATGTGATGACTTCTTTTTCTGGCAGTATTTGGCCACTAGATGTTGTGAAAAACCCTTGGGCTACAGAACATTTAGCAATTCTGGGAAAAATGTTACAAGCAAAATCTAAATCACCGGTTCTGATCAAATGTCCAGTTCTGTTCCCCGTTGTCCACTGTCTCTTGTCCATGATCGCTGTGCAGTAAGATACCTGAAGCTCACGTCTTTCTGGGCTCCCGGGGAATTCCCAAGCCTGGGCTGAACATGCGCGCCTCCCGAGTGGATTCGCTTTTTGCATCCACCAGGGCCTTCTGAGTGCACCCCATCTTGGTCTAATGTGATCACATTTTCATAGGAAGTGTGTGTCCCCAGGGACCAAAAAACAGAACCAAGAAGCCAGGAGAAGCCCGCTGCCCAGGGAGCATTTGCTGATTTTGGTAAAGCCAGTGCCTTGGTTTAACTGATATCTGGAGAGGAGACCAGGCTTTGGCCTGTGAAGGCCCGGGGTTCAGCTGGAGAGCGGAGGGGGCCCTTGCAGAGCCGCCCCTCGCTGACAAGGGGAACCTGGGCAAGGCTGCCTGCCCACAAAAAAAAGCCATGGGAAATACGTCTGTCTCAGCCCCGGCACTGTGCTGGGTGGGGAAGAAAATGTGTCCAGGCCTATACTTTCTCTTTTGCAAAAATTATATTTTATTGATTATGCTATCACAGTTGTTCCAATTTTTTTCCCCCTTTACCCCCCTCCACCCTTATTCTTTCTTCAGTTTGGGGTTAAGGGCTCATACATACACACACACACTTCCTGTGATCCAGGACACTCCAAGTTATTTAACTACATTAAAATGAAAATTTCTGGAGCCCTGGCTGGTGTAGCTCAGCAAACTGAGCGTGGGCTGCGAACCAAAGTGTCACAGGTTCGATTCCCAGTCAGGGTACATGCCTGGGTTGCCGGCCATGACCCTCAGCAACCGTACATTGATGTTTCTCTCTCTCTCTCTATCTCTCTCTCTTTCTCCCTCCCTTCCCTCTCTAAAAATAAATAAAATCTTTAAAAAAAAAGAAAATTTCTGGTCCTGGTGGGGTAGCTCAGTTGGTTAGATCATCATCCCAGTGCACCAAGGTTGCGGGTTTGATCCCAGGTCAGGGCGCATACAGGAAGCAACCAATGCATGCACGAATGAGTGGAACATCAACGTCTCTGTCTCTCTCTCTCAAATCAATACATAAAATTTCAAAAAATCAAAATTTAGTTTTAGCAAAAGGCACTGTAAAAATTAAAGACAAACAACCACAAACTAGGAAATCGTTTAATTCATAAAGAATTCGTGTCCAGAATACATAGTTTCCTACTTGTTAACCAAGAAAGACAAGCCACCCACGGAAGGGGACAATGGCTACCTTTGGAGGGGGCGGGGGAACTGGGGCGGGTCCACGTGGAAGGCAGCCTTACAGCGTCAGTTCCATTGGTAATACTTATTTCTTCAGGTGTGCTGTAGGTACACAAGTGTTTGCTA